AGTTAATAGCATTTAAAATAAATGTTTTTAATGTAATTAGTAAATGCTTGATAAATAGTTTGATATATTTTGTGATGAAATAAGATAAATTAGACAAGCATTAAGATAAAACTCTAAATAAAAAGTTATTTTTCTAAATAATTGTATTTTATTTCTTATTACATAAAAATACTAATATATATACACACACAGGACAAAAGTATTTGAACAATTGTGTGTTACATAAATTTAACTGTATATTACTGATCTTTATTAAATAATAGAATGCCTAATTTCTAACTAAATTTATTATTCTTTTTTTCTAGAATCTCACGGCTTTGCTCTTTTAAATAAAAAAAAATTTTTTATTAATAATTTTAATACTTAAAAATGCCAAAAACTTGTGAGCTTACACCTTTTGAATGTAAAGAAATTGTATATTTATTAAAGGCAAATATAGTATAAGAAACATCTCAGAAGTTCTTGGCAAACCAAAATCTACTATCCATGATGTAATTATGAAATACAATAAAGAAACTGCACTGATACTGCATCTAGAAGTAGTAGAACTCCAGCTTTATCAGAATAAGATAAATGTCAACTAGGAAGAATAGTATGATAAAACTGTAAACAAGCTGTGAAAGAAATTACTGAACAATTTAATCAGGATCTTAATATTTCATTAAGTAGTAAAACTGTTAAGCGAATACTGCATTCTATGGATTATTATAGGCGTACTGATAGGAAAAAACCTTTAGTTTTTGATGAAAATAAAAAAAAATGTTTACTTTAGTGTCATTAGAAAAAGTTGGCAAGATGAATAGTATTTTATAATTTTTAGTAATGAATCTCGTTTTGAATTATTTAAAAATGATGCTAATCAATGGGTTTAATGCAGGATTCATGAGGTATATGCAAAAGATTGTTTAATATCAACAGTTTAAAAGTCAGAAAGAGTTATAGTTTGGGGGTATTTTTGCAACTTTAAAGTAGGACTATTAGTACTAATTGAGGGAAAATTAAATGCTGAAAAGTATGTAGAATTACTTAAATATTATCTTTTACCTTTTCTTAATGAACTTGGACCTAATAGTCATACTTTTTAAGATAATAATGCTTTAGCATATGCAGCACGATTTACAAAGGGTTGAAAAGAAGAAAATTTACATTAATCACTTCCTTGACCAGTACAGAGCCCTGATCTCAATCCAATTGAGAATTTGTAAAATGTACTAGAAAGAAAGGTCAGAATGCGTAGACTTAAACCAAAAAATAAGTCAGAACTTTTAGCTGCTCTTAAAGAAGAATGGTACCAAATTGAACCTGAAAGATTATTAAAATTAGTTGAAAGTAAGTCTCATAGAATTAAGGCCGTAATAAAAAGTAAGGGGTATCCTACATTATATTAGTATTATTTTTAGATTAATATAAGCTAATGAATTGTTAAAATTTACGTGTTTTTACTAAAGATTAGAATGTTGTAATATAGCTAAAAATTTCTTTAAATTTTTTCAGTTTTTTTTTAAAAAAATTTATAATTATATATTTCAAAAAAGGTTACTTAGTAATAAAATTTACGTTAAGACCAAACATTTTAATGTTATACTATAATTAAAGTTTTTATTAAAAAATGTATTATTTTAAAATAAATTTTAAATTATTATAGTTCGACCAGTTTTTATTTAAATTCTTTGAAATTTTTATGTATCACGTGACATATTATGATGAACAACTTTACTTATGAAACCAAAGTTACATAAAAAAAAGTTTACTTATAGCCAACTTTACCCAATTAATTTAGTAATTTGCATAGTGTCCGGATACTTTTGTCCTTGTGTGTGTATGTGTAATACTGTTTATATTTTGAATAGATGAACCGTTAATTGGCATACAAATCACGTGTTTATTATTTATTTCAATTTGCCGACAACCCGCGAACCCGAGAACCCGGCAACTTCTCGGCAAAAATTTTACCAGGTGTCCCGTAACTTATGAAATTTGCTGTAAAAAAAAAAATCTTGTTTGGAACCCGATGTATGGGTTTTTTCGCGCATTCTTGAATCCTTTCATATATAATTGCCCATCGGCATTCAACATTTTTTTTTTTCAAACAATTACACAAAATTAAAACGTTATCACATTTAAATGGAAATTTATTTTTTTTTTATTGTGATAACAAAACTGACATTACAAATAAGTGTATCGTGTTTCTAGGTAAATTATATGGTCTTTATTTGTTTTGTAGGAATATTTTATGCCAAATTCAATAGACCTTAATATAATTTTTTTCATATTATTATTTTCATTTATATAAATTGTGACTTTCAGGATTAATTTTTTAACAAAATTGAGATTTTTATTGTATTTTATTTTTGATGTATTAGATTAAGATTAATTAAGCTCTTAATTTTAACAAAAATCTCTCGGAATCTGATTTTCTAGAAATCCTCCCATATCTCATTACATTATACTCGTGCTAATGTTTATGTTGTGTCTTTTTTCATTACAATAGGTGCGACAATGATTTAGTTATATTGTCATTGAGTTGCATAACGTATATGCGGTCTAACAAAAAGAAAAACGATGTCGGTATTTTTTTTAAAAAAAAAAGATTCAACCATAATGTTGTAGTAAAAAAAAAAAAAAGTATTTGTGATGATGTAACAAAAAGTTGGAATGTAACTTTATATTAGGCATCGTTCGTTAACAATCTTTTCGATTACATTGTTGGTTCGTATTCAGTTGTCCGAAGCATAGCGAAGGACATTTTACTTCTAGGCATTTCAAATGCATTGTCATGTTGATCGACGAATCAGTTTTTGAGCCGTGTTGTCGAATTTGCGTTACATATCGTGTATTAAGTGTCATGTAAACATTTCGCGTTGTTATCCTAAACATTTATTAATAATACCTATCAAATAATAAAAAAATAATATTTGTTTGTGATATAAATTTTCTTCAGAAATTCGTATTTGTTAAAAATACCCTAATTTACGTTTTTTTATATGATTAATATAATGCATCGGACGCTCCAACGGTTCCGTTACCTAGTTTTATTGTATATGTTGCGTCAAATGTTAAATATAAAAATGGTCATCAGTGATGCTGGCCAGAAATTACAAAATGGGCCGGTCATTTAGGCCAGTAAACGTCTGATCGGCAAAATTTTGCCCCACATTGCTACCAAGTATTTTATGTCACTGATTGGTGAATCACGATATTTTTTAAATTTTTAGATCGTCCATTGGTTAAAAATCTTATTTTCCAGATTATTAACTTTTAAGGTATAAAAAAGAATGGTATATATATTTAATTTAATTTCTTTTAATATGTGTACAAATATTGAACCATTTCTGTGGCGGACATGCTTGAGAATCTAGATTCAATAATGGAGGAGTTGAAAATAGCTAAAAATTTGAAATAACTCAATTTTTGTCAATATTCTAGAAAATTCGTTCAGTTCATTTGAAAACAATGGAGTCGAATCTGTTAAAGTTGATTCAACGGCTGGTACAAGCTTGTGTAAAATTCTATAATTTAGATACTAGCTTTCAAGTTCATTTGAAATTTTTGATAGGAAATTTCTATGCATTTTACAGCAGGTATGAACTCAATTCATGTAATAATGTTTATATTGTGAGAACTTTTATTGAGATTATTGAAATAGTAATTCTCAGAAGGAACGCAAACCTATTTCGTTGAAAAAATTTAAGTGATATCATAAGGGTAAATCCAAATATCGAGTTGATAATTTGAAAAATAAATTAGAAAATATTACAAATATTTACCTTGAAACATCGCTATGTTTTCGAAATGGAAACTAGGAATCAGTGTTGGAAAATTTATCATTCCAATTGCATGAATTGGACAATTGGACATATAAAATTCATATGTCGCGCAGTTTTACTAAGTCCAATTGGTCCAATTGCCAACACTGCTAGGAGCGGTTCACGACTTTGTGATAAAATGTTTATTGATATTCCGCAATTTACGAATATGAATTAATGATTCTAAAAAAAAAGAAAAATGCAAAGCTGATGAATAATGAAATGCAATTTGAATCAAGAAAGTTTACATTAGAAAATGTTTTGTTTTCCAAAATGGTCGAACTAAAAATAATGTGAATCTTTCCTTTTTTGGATTGTTTCAGCCATAGGTAAATTGGAATACAGAACAGAATAATGAAAAAAATAAATTTTCAATCGATTTAATTCAATAAAACCATCATTTTATTAAAGGACAAATACATTATGAAGTTAAAGTAAAATATTATTTTTGTATTTAACTAATTATTTCTATGAGTGACTATTCCAACATGTTAGAATCGTCAAGCAGGAATCCAGTATCGGTTTTATGGTAGCTAGGCTGCTTAAAAAAATTTAAAAGATTTTTAATGTAGATCGCTGAATGACATTGGTATTATTAATTAGCCATCAAATTTTTGTAGGATATTTGCCAAAACTTAAGAATTAAAATTAATACAATATTATGTTACTAGCATTTGTAGTTAATTAATTATAAAGCTTTTAAAGCTTACAAATGAGGTGGTAAAATACTTTCGGAAGTCACTTATGTTGCCAATGCTTTCTTTTAGACTAAGTATTAAAAAGCCCGGCACGGACTTAACAATATGACAATTCGAACTAGTTCCGTTATAATTAATTTATGCTATTAAGGCGATGCGAAATTTAATCTTCTATAACATTTTTTTTATTTATTAAACAAGTTATATACATATAATAATAGTTTAATAATGTAACGCGACAAAATAAAACAAATACATTTACCATCAAAACTCACGTTACGGACACATTCGTTAATTTGATCCCCAATAGCAAGTCCCCAAAATTAAAATACAATCAGCGGCCCAATTCAAATTAAATTATAACATTCACCATAATTATAAAAAATCCGGTCCGGTACCCCTCTACTTTATTTATTTTATTTTATTTTATACAATTTGACAATCTTTGAACCTAAAAAATTACTAAATATGTTCACTAATTCTATATTAAATTTTATCATGAAAATTCTGGTCGCTTTAATGAAGCGAATCGTACCGCAGTACAATCTGCAAATTCTACTGGTTCTATTATAGAGCCAGAACGATTCGATTTTCGTACTGAACAAACGATTCGTACCGTAAGATTTTCCATCCCTGGAATTATGTATTGGTAAATGATGTTTACGCTAACAGCATAATGTTTATATACATGTCATGATCCACTTGTTGCTGAAAATGCAATTAAGCTTTGAAGACTAAGACTAACTGATGAAAAAAATTCAAGTTTTGAACGATTCAAATAAGAATGAAGAATGGTATAACAACCTACCTGGACTGGTTGCTACGATTCCCGGACAAAAGTAATCAACAAAAAATTTAAGAAATGATACCTATCAAAAAATTATGCAAAAATAAGTTATAGTCGAAGATAACCAACCTGGAAAATATCACAACGTTCTAAATAGGTTTACTGCGCACCAAGTTATTAATATAGTAATCTATTTGGCCTATAACAGTTATTTTACTAATTGACGCTATTGTTTTTTTCCTACCAGAATAATTTTGTGAAGTTTATGATTTCGCTTGTACTGTTTGTATCGATTACGGTAAAGTTTTGTCGAAGTATTTGATTTGGTACATTAATATAAGTTGTACACAGAAATACCATGAGTTTGAAATCTCGCGAAGTGGTTATTTTTTTTGCTTGTAAAAACTTTTATGATTTTGATTTCTAATTTTTCATTTGGATTTTTACATTTAGCCGGAATTTTAAATTTAAATGACCCCCTTTTTTAGTATTTCGGATAAAAATATTAATAAAAACATTTTTGACTTTATAATTTTTTTTTTGTTTTTGTTTTGTTTTTAAAAAAAAAAAAAATCGAATAATTATATTTAAGAGGGTTTAACCAAAATTTCGGCGTCGTATTTCCTTTAAGCCGTTTAAAGGAAAAAATATATATTCAAAATTTAAAATTTCTTAATCCCTAACTTTTCTTTTTAGTTATTGTCACATTTTGTATTTTTCAAAACTTTGGAAGGAAAGTCGAGGGTATTTATATTTTTTTTTTTTTTTTTTTTTTTTGAAACCCAAAATTAATTACTGCGGCGATAAATAACGATATGATATGCACACCGGAATTCCGGAGTATTTTTATTCTTTTAGGAATTCTTAAGAAGTAAGTTTTTTCCATAGAGAATCAATAATTATCTCACTTTCAACTTTTTTTTTCCAATTCATTTTCTTGTTACACTGTAGCTGCCGAACAAATTTCTTTAAGAAAAAACTTACTTTCATTATCGGCCGACTGAATTCGATGCTGCGCTTTTCCTGCCTATCTGTTTTGACTCATATTCTATTTTTAATTTTTCTATTTTTATCTCCATTTGTAATATAATGTAATGTTACATCATTTCTTTAGTTTACAACGTTGATCATGTTTCACAAAATCGTTGTACTCTAGAATAATTCTTTCGGAATTCTGGCAAATTCGAACATGTCTAGAGAGGAAATAAGTTAAATATCTTATGATTTAAATTTTAAGCAAAAAGATTATTTTTCTTTTATAATTAATCTACGAATTGTATTACAATCCAACCTGTTAAAAAACCAGTCAAATTTTGCAACAAATCGTCAGAAATTATCGAAGTTCGTCAAAATCCGTCAAAACCATCGAAATTGTCGAAACCCATCGAAACCCAACTAAATTGTCGAAATCCGTCGAAATTGTCAAAATTATCCTCAAAAAGTTTCGACTTTTGCCAAAATTGAATTTAAGGTAACCTTAGGCGGAGTATAAAATTAATAAAGTTAAATACATATTTGTTTTATTTAATATATCTGTTATATTATTATCTTATCTATATAATAAAGTCAGGTTAGAATTTTATAAAAAGTTCGATAGTTCGACTTTGCTGTCGACAGAGTTTCAAGGTTTTGTCTTGAGGAAGGCATTATTGACTTATAGTTAGCAAATTCTATTATCACAATGAGACACGATAGTTTTTGTTACAGGCAGGCCTTAGTTAGATTTAAGTTATTTTTTATTGGTTTTAGTATATTCCAGGTTATCAACAGGCTTCATAGTAAGTTTTCTTTTTGATTTTATCCTTACATTAGATTATTTTCTTTTTTTTGTGTAATTTAAATTTTTTTTTGGATCGCTTCAAAAGCGTAGCGACTGGATGATTTCTTTTATTTTTTTATAATTTTACGCCCTGGTTTTCTTCTAAAGGTGGATCGCCTTTTTGTATTAGTCTCCAAAGGAGGCTCAGTAAATACTTTACGCATTCAATTTATTGTACCAATTCCAATTATTTTATATACTGTACTGTTCTTACTCTTTATTACACGAACTTTCAAAAGAAAATGCCATAAAGAAAATAATCAACTCCTCTCGTCCAAAATTATATCCAATCTTTTTTTATGACGATATCTCCCAGCGAAATCATTATTTTAACCTAATTTTTTAATGATGATTTTTTCGTCATCTAATTAATATCTTTTTCGTAATTTTCGTTAATTTCCTCCATTGTATAGCTCATCATTTTCATTCTTTTCGAAAATTTTGTAGAATTGTAAAGTTTCGTAATGAATTTTCGATTATTCACAATTCAGAAAGCAGTTAACTTTATTTGGTAAGACAAGAAACGGTAGCAGACTAGATTATTTAAGGGAATTATTTACAGTTGAACCGAGGGCTGAGCATAAGAGAGATTTCTATTGGTGCAAGAAAAGCAAGAAAAGCAATAAAACTCTGAAATAACCCAATCCGAAAAAATTAAATAATCAAAAATGGATTTAAAGAATAATTTGGAAAAATCCTTAAAAGACTTGGAAACGAGAATTAAGGAGTTAGAGCAAAGTAACGAAGGATTACGTTCACAATTAAAATATTTAGAAGAAAAGGTTAGAGAACGAGAAGAAGAAACCAAAGGAATTATTAAAAATTTAGAAGAAAATGTTAAAGAAGAGGCCAAAGCCAAGCAAGTAATTATTAATAATTTAGAAGAAAGGATTAGAAAACGAGAAGACGAATCCAAAGAAAAGCAAGAAATTATTAGTGGATTAGAAAAGAGAATCAGAAATCTTGAATTAATTATTTACGATGATACTATTGATAGTTTGACTATTACAGATACTA